TTATTACATTTATTTATTGTGTGTGTGTGTGTGTGTGTGGCCAGCTCAGCCCACCAGGGGGCAGGGCTGGCTGGCATGTGGTGCTGGAGGATTGAACTGCGGTCCCTGTGCTTTGCCAAACTTGTTTCAAGTAGGTGCTTTAGACCACTGAGCCATCTCTCCAGCCCCAACCCCTCTATTTTTAAATCGTAGAACCGAGGTTCTGGCCAGTAAGTTCCTCCAGAGAAGAAATGTAAGAGGGAAACTACTGCTGACACCAAGGAGCTTTTCTGACTTGGGGATGGCACATAGTAGGACCCCAGGGAGCTGAGTCGCTGATTCTGACCTGCAGCCCCTGCAGAACCACCTTGCTACTCCGGCCTCCTTTCCTGAGCTGTTTCTGCTTAAGTAACACATGCTATGGTCCTCTCACTTGTACAAGTGACCCTAACACCTGCTCTGGCCTCTCTTCCCCCACGATGGCTTGGTTCTTTACTTTCAGAAACAGGTTATTCACATCTTTTTTTAGTACTGGGAATAGAACTCAGGACCTTGCATTTCAGTTACATACTTTTTTTTTTTTTTTTTTTCCGGAACCAGGGATTGAACTCAGGCCCTTACGCTTGCCAGGGAAGCGCTTATTCCACTGAGCCATCTCCCCGGCCCCTCAGTTACATACTTCTAAGTGGCCATTTTCTTTTCTAAATAAATACATGGATGTTGAACAAAGAGAACGCCGCCTTCCCTCACTAGTTAGAGCCTGGTCAGAGGCTCTGGATTCCAGGCCATCAGTGGGGACACCCGTGGACTGAATACCCAGACTGGTCTCTGCTGAAGAGAGCGTTCTCTTGTTCCGCTACAGGACAGAGGGTTGGAGTCGGCGTCTCTCACCACAGAGTCCCAGGTGTGGACGCTGAACCTGAGCGTCAGTCTGCCAGAGAGAGACCAGGACAGTGAGCCGAGGCGGGGTGGGGGAGGTTAGAAGACACACCCAAAGCAGGCCCAGGGCTCGGGAACCACACCTGTCCACAGTCTCCACACGGGAGATCGTCCTTGGCCAGCCACTGAGGCCATGAGCTGAAAATGCCAAGGGCAGGAAAGCGCAGGCACAGGGCTTACTACGTCACCCCAAGTAAGAGCTGCCCCCATCCAGAAGCTGGGCTTGAATGGGGATCCACAGAAAGCCTATGAACTTTTTTTTTTTTTTTTTTTTGCTCCGAATGCCCTCAGGGGTGGTTTGGCTGGCTGGAGTGTTGTGGGGATCGAACTACACCAACCTGAGGCTGCCAGCTTTGTGGAAGCAGCCACTGAAACAACTGAGCTAAGGCCAGGCCCCCTTAAGGGGTTTTTTTTTTGTTGTTGTTTTTAAGCCTATGAACTTTTAAGGCCTTTAAGATGGAAGAACAAGCCAGGAGACACCGACCTGTAATCCCAGCTCTTGGGAGGTTGATGCAGGAAGATTGCTGCAAGTTCAGACCAGCATGGGCTATAAAGGGAACTCAAGGCCAGCCTGAACTGCACAGCAAAACCCTGTCTCAAAAAGACCAAAAAAAAAGGCTAGAAGAACAGATGGACCGCACAGGGCTGAGATCCTAGGAGAAGGCAGTGAGACAGGAGGGTGGACTACTGGTACAGCCAGTGACATCTCCAAGTCATCTACAAATGCTGGACCCAGAAGATATAAAAACAATAGCCCAGCGTGGTGGGGTGGTGCATGCCTGTAATCTCAGCACTTATGAGGCTGAGGCAGGAGGCTTATTACAAGTTCAAGGCCAGCCTAGGATATGTAGTGAGTTTAAGACTAGCCTGTACCACACAGTAAGATCCTGTCTCAAAAACAAAAAACAAAAAAATAGTAAAAACGAAGAGGTGTTGAGGACACAGTAGACTTCCTTAAAAAAAAATTCACTTTGGTGTCATAAACCCGCACCGCACAGCTTGCACTGGAGGACAGATACAATCACTTGAGGACACAATGAAATCCTTCCAATCCCAAGAGGCGGCATCTTCAAAGCATCACAAGACAAGGGGACAGCTGCAGCAGAAGATAACCCAGGGTGTGAAAGAAAACCTCTGAGGCAACTGAAGGAGGAGGAAATGCATGACTGGAACTCAGCGGAGATGCCTCACGTAGCGCAAGCTGCCAAGCGGGAGCTACACAACATCTACAAAAGGACAGCTGAAGATATGGAAAAATAATTAGAGAAACGCTTCTTCTATCAGACCACGATCTTTCCTAAGAGAAGAAAGCTCAAGGGATTGCACAGAAGTGCTGTGGATCCAGAGAAAGGCCCGCAGACTACAAAAATGAACACCAGGACATGTTCTATATATTTATGAAAATATTACATTGAAACCTGTATTTTGTAAAATTTATAGCTACTAATAAAAATACATTAAATAGAAAATGATGCCCACAGACAACTGCTAGCAAGTTCCTGTGGCAGCCTTTTCCTGGGGGCCATTTTGTGCTCATGCTTCCCATGTAACCCACAGAAGCCTCTATGTACCAGGGGTCCCAGGTCCTCAAGCCCCCCAGAGGAGGAGGACAGTTGTAAGGGCTCAGGGACCCGGCGTCTCTGGTAGGTTTAAAGCAGCCTTCAAGCAGATGCCCTCGCATATCCACAACCACAGCAAGACATTCTCCTGTTACCTCTTTTTAAAAGAACAGTACCTGGATGGATCACCTTTCAGCTTAATTGCTCATATTTTATTGATGCTATAATTGGTCTACTGAAATCTGATAGCAATAAAATGCCTAAGATAATATTTTCAAACATAGATCAATAGTAACACAATTCTTATGAATACAGTGGCTGTGAGTGTTGATGGGAGACTGCTTCCAGAACTCTGTGCAGATATAAAAACTGAGGTCGCTCAAGTCCTTATAGAAAGTGGCCATTAGCACTTGCATATAACCTACCCATGTCCTCCCAAGGACTTATTTTTTTATGTATGTAGTACAGGCTCTCCAGGGTCTAACACACAGATTGGACTTGTAGTGATCCTCATATTTTCAGCCTCCCCAGAGTTGGGATTACAGATGTGTGACACCACGCCAAGTCTCAGTGGCCATCTCAGCATGCCCTGGGGGTGGGGCCAGCACAGCACACTGGGGATTGAACCCTGGTCCCTGCACCTGTCAAAGCAGGCGCTTTAGTCCACTGAGCTATTTGGCTGGCCCTCTCCAGAGGACTTTAGATGATTACTTATACTGCCCATACAATACGAATACAACACAAATGGTACAAAAGTAGTTGTTATACCAAGCTATTTAGGGACTAATTTAAAATAAGTGGGGCTGGGGAGATGGCTCAGTGGAATAAGCACTTCCCTGGCAAGCACAAGGGCCTGAGTTCAATCCCTGGTTCTGCCAAAATAAATAAATAAATAAATAAATAGCTGTACATGCAGGCTGGCGAGATGACTCAGTGGTCTAAAGCACCTACTTGGAACAAGCTTGGCAAAGCACAAGGACCACGGTTCGATCCCCCAGCACCACATGCCAGCCAGCGCAGCCCCCTGGTGGGCTAAGCTGGCCACACACACACACACTCTAAATTAATTAATTAATTAATTAAAAAAAAAAAAGCTGTACATGCTTTCAGTATAGACACAGATTTTTCCCCCAAATATTATCAACCCCAGACTGGTTGTACCTATGGATGAGGAACATATGGACGTGAAGGTGGGCTGCAGAGTTCATCTACTGTATTGCATTTGCTAGGAACTGAGAGTGTAAGCACCGTACGTGGATGGAAAAATAAGGGATTGTTATGTGGTGTTATATTTTTAGATTTCATTTTATGGTTCCTGGCTTATGACTCTCTTCAATGCAGGTCACAGAAAATAATTCTTTCATTGTTGTTTTTTTCTTTTCTTTTTGGCAGAACCAGGGATTGAACTCAGGCCCTTACGCTTGCCAGGGAAGTGCTTATTCCACTGAGCCATCTCCCCAGCCCTCTTTTTCTTTTCTTTTCTTTCTTTTGAGACAGGGTCTTGCTATATAGGCCAGGCTGACCTCAGTCTCTCAGCAATCCTCCTGACTCAGCCTCCTAAGTGCTGGGATTACAGGCGTGCACCACCACACCTGGCTCATAGAAACTAGTTCTGCTAAGCTTTAGTTGGCCATGACCCGACTCTCAGACCTATGCTGTCCAGCAGTAGGTCCTGGACTCTCCTCCCTCCAGAGGAGTCCTGCCCCTCTCCCTGGGAGAATCTGAACAGGCAGGTCTGCTGGGTGTCCCCACCTGGTGTCTTCGCAGAGGATCATGGAAATTTTGTCCGTCTATATTTCAACACAGCTGTTCACACTTCCATCATGACTGTGCACTGAAGTGTCCCACAAAAGCCCAAAAGACGAGGCTCTGAGGGGCTCCAGATAGCGTCCAGGAGGTGGCGGCTCAGTGCCACCTCTCCCTCCCCTGCCTAGCCATCTCTCCAGACGTAGCCAGTCCTGTCAGCTGCCCATCTGTGGGAGCCCTGATTTACCACCAGATGGTCAGAAGCCCAGTAAAAACAACTAGGACTTTCGGCTGACATCACAGGTGCAGAGCATCCAGGGGACGGAGCCTCAACCTGTGGGATCTGACGCCATCTCAGGTAGATGGAGTCAAAACTGAGACTAGAGGGCGCCCAGGCGGCACCCACTGCAGAACTGCCTGCCCGCTTGCTGGGCGAGAGAACAGCTTCTGCCTCTGAGGGTCCGTTTTCTGTGCTGCCTGAATAAGAGCAGGGTTTTTACTAACACACAGCTATGTTTTAACCGATCAAAGTTCGACACAGGGCCGGGCCAAATAGCTCAGCGGATTAAAGTGCCAACAAGCAGGCACAGGGGCCAGGGGTTCAATCCCCAGGCCTGCTATGCCGGCCCTGCCCCCTGGGGACACTGAGACAGCAGCGAGTGAGACTGGGCATGGTAGCGCGTCTGTAATCCCAGCACCTTGGAGGCTGTAAACAGGAGAATCACTAAGAGTCCGATCTAGTAGCGAAACCCTGAACCCCCTGTAGCCTTTCCTAAAATATACAAAAGAAAAAAAAAAAGTTTGACATGTTAAAACTTTTTAAAACAATGACCATTCCTGAGTTTTATGAGCTAGTATTAAAAGCCTTTTCCCCCCAAAACAAAAAGCAAAATCAAAAACCTAAATATCATCTCCACTACAGTCAAATCTGACAAAAGTTTTATTCCTTTAAACCCTAAATTCTTAGGGCTAGGGACGTGACATTTTTGCAGACATCTGGCACCACGATTCTAATACTAAATTCACACTTCGGTTAAATAAATTTCACAGGTTTAGGGCACAATCCCCACAAGACCACCCTCAGTTCAGTTTCTAGCTCCACTTTTTGTGGAGGCCCTCAGGCAACCTTCACTTTTGACCAACTAGCTACAAACACGGAGGCTCCACACTCTCTTCCTCAGGTGTAAGACACAGAGCTCAGAGGTGCTCCGGCCGAGCTAAATGAAGAGATGGTATAGGGCAAGGTCTGGGGCATCCCGGTGTGAGGTGTGAAGCCTCGTGGCCTTGGCCAACTCATCTTCTGACACACCAATGTATGGTGACCAACCAGGAACACTCACCCAGGCCTCACTGTGCAGTTTTTACTGGGGTTTCCTAATGTAGGTCTCACGGCCATATGACTGAATTCCTGAATCTCCAAGGGTTCAGACCCATACAACTTGGGTCCAAACCCCTGCCATCTCAGAGGAAGGCTGATCTTTCTGGGCAGACAGTTCCAATCTTGAAACTAAGGGGTCAGCACAAGGCAAATGATTAACAGACACTCAAGCATGGTAACTGTGGTGAACTGTCACAAACAACAAAGACACTCCTCTCCCTGAGACAACTGCAGGGATTTAGCGAGTACGGCCCAGGGCCCGGGACAAAGCCAGGAGAATTCTTTATCACAGCAAACACTGAATTCATATTTTGTCAATTTTTGGATGATCTTCACCATCTTAAGATTTTTTGTTTAAACATTTCTAACTTTCATGTGGTCACAAGTTTCCTTTGGGAGCTTGTGTGCAAGGACTGAACTGAGGGAGGAGGAGAGGCGGGGGAGGGGAGGGATGGGGAGGGGCCTATCACTGGGCTACATCTCTGGCCTTTTTTAAAATCTTGAGACAGGATCTTAAATGGCCCAGGCTAGCCTCAAATGTGCAGTCCTGCCTCAGCCTCTTAAACAGTAGGGATTACAGACATCCACTATCATGCCTTGCTGCAAGTTTCCTTTTTCTGGTAAACCAAACCAAACCAACAAAACGAAACCTAGACAAATGATGTTCCATACCCCTCTGAACCCCACAGTCTGAAGACAATCACTAAAATTATGGCTGATATCTACTTCAATCATGAGGTTTCCTTTTTTTTAAAAAAAGCAAAAATCAGCAATACTAGATCTCACGGGTTTGCTTTAGCACAACACAACATCCTCTGCCTGCAGGAGAAAGAAGCCCCCTCCCCCGTCCGACACTTGCTGTTCACCCACAGATCTTCAAGAGAAGCTGGCATTTGGTGTGAATTAATTTCTTCCTGAGGAGATGAGCTATGAAGAATACCAGATTGTTGTGGAAAATGGAAAACTATGGGGGAGGCTGGCTGCCTTCCAAGGAAGAAAACAGACCACGTCCAACAATAGCACAGAAATAAAGGTGAGGTGAAAAACCAGCACAGAAGGTCTCAGCATAAGGTCACTCAAATACATTTGTGTAGAATCAGAATCACACGAAACCTCATCTCTTAACTGGATACTTGAGATTCCTGCTTCTGACTCACACACAGCTTGCTATTCACAAGGCTGCGACCAGAAGGCTGCACTCAAAGAGCAAAGAGTTTAAACAAACATCTCATACAGCACAGTCAACACGTGAAGACCCACCCGTGGCTACTTGACTTCTTCAAATCTGTGCCAAATGATATTTGTTGTACGTTTAGACGAATCTTTTAGGTTATTTCTATGGTGTTTTTGTTTTTCGGTACCAGGGATCAAACTCAGGACCTTGTGCTTGCCAGGCAAGCACTTATTCCACTGAGCTATCTCCCTGGCTCTTCTAGGTATCCTCAATGAAAAAGATTTAGCTTTAAATGTATAATGCTTTGTTCCTTTAATTGCTGTTTCTTTTTCTTTTGGCTTTTTGAGATGAGGTCTCATTATATAGTCCAGCCTGGCCTGAATCATCACCTTACCTACCCAGTGCATAGTGGGGTAACAGCTACTTCTGCCAAGCCTACTCCCACAGCTGTTCCTTGGGGGCCCAACCCCTCTGTGCCAGGCCTCTTCAAGGGGCTGCGGTTATACAGGTGAACAAGACAGAACAGGCTTTTTTCCAGGGAGCTTAAACTCTAATTCAATAAAAAACAGACCCGCACAAAATCAGGCATGGATAATGCAGATTTTTACAAAGAAGAAACCTAAGCTTTACAAGTGAGCCACATGGCCTCGAAGAGCGAATAGGGCACAAGGAGGCCCAAGAATGCCCAGTCCCAGGTCTTTCCCCCAACAGAGACGCTGAGAAAAACTGAGCATTTTTCTATCTGAAGGACCTTAAGCACTAGTAAAAACCTTCTTCTGCGAAAGGTTACTCCCCCAAAGCATCTATTTTTTTTTTTTTAATAGATTTTTTAACTAGCAGAGAGATGACTCACTGGAGGATCCAAGCTAGGTTGTTTTCAAAGTCACTGCGGGGAAGGCCTCCTGACAGCCCCTATGCAGCAAGGGGGCGCAGCATGGGGGGTCTACCAGGCTGCCCGGCCACGTACCTGGAACTTGGCAGGATTCCTTCATGGCCAGGATATCCCTGATGTAGAGTTTTGCAAAGGCTACAAACACAGGATCCAAGCCCCACGAGAGGGAAGAGGGCTCGTCACCCTGGCTGGACTCGGAATGCATCAAGAGGCTACAATGTGACATCCACTTCAGCTAACCCTACAGCCTCTCTCCTTCAGTCAAGGGCCTATATGAGACACAAAAACCAGGATGGGGGACGTTTAGTGGGAAAACCGACGTGGCCAGGAAGCGGTCCCCAGGCGCCAGGCAACCGGAAGGCTGGCAGACGCAAGCCCAGCATCTGGAGCCCAGATTCTTTCCCAGAATTACCAGCCTCAAAACAGCAAACAACTTTCCACTCTGGGGAGAGCCGTCCAGCTAGGAGCACCCTGAAGCTGCTTTACCGAGTGGGCCCGGGGGTCACCGGCGCCCCCGCGGCCGCACGTCGGCGGGGGCGCAGAAGGGGGCCTGTCCCTCGGCTCCGCACCTCCGGGGTGAGCCGCCAAAATGAAAGGGGAAAGAGACCCGAGGGGCTGGCAGCCTCTCCCACCAGGCCCACGCCGTTTCCCGCAGCACGCGAGCCTGGCTCGGCGACGGAACTGCCGGCGGCCGCGTCGGGGCCGCTGAGGGGGCGACCCTTCCCCAGACCGCGACAGTCCCCGCTCCGCCCGCCGCTTTTCCGCTTCCCGCCGCCAGCGCCTTGCTGCGCCCCGCCCCATCCGGGCCAGGCCCCGCCCACTCGCAAAGTCCCGCCCACCGCGCGCCCTGTGCCTGCGGCCCCGCCCCACGCTCTCCTGCGGGGGGCGGGGCTGCGAGGCGGCCGGCCAACTTTGCGAGCAAGCCGGCTCCGCGGTGCTAAGAGCCGCTTCTGGAGGCCTGCAGGGGCTTCCCGATTCCCGCAGCTCTGATCCAGCCTTCCACCTGGCCCCTTTGCACCACCCCTCGGTAGTGACGGAGTCCTCAAGGTGCTGGAACAAGGTCCAAATTTTTTGTTTTGGCGCCTGATGTATTCGGCAAACAACGCAGTAAGGCAGAGCCAGAAGCAGCCTTGCATGTGGCTTTTTTAACGTGTTTACTCACCGCAGATAAAGGAGCCATGCAGTCTGCAGGCTCATTTGGAGATAATGTCAGTGTCTAAATTTAAGCCTTGAGTGCGCGAGGCCTGCCTAGTCCTTGCCTGAGACCAGCCCTGCAGGGTCATGACAATACGTTTTTTCTGTTCCATCCACAGTCTGCAACAGTGAACTAGTCTTGTTCCACTGCCACTGTGCCGTAACTAGAGATGGCCAGAGTTCTCCCTAATTTATGGACCTCTGACATGGTAGGAGGAGGAGGAGGAGGTTTCCCCAGCAGCCCCGTTCTGGGAGGCAGGCGGTTGCCAAAGAGATACTTGCTAAACTATTTATCAGAGACAGAACTTCAAGCAGCTGGAATGGAAAATGTGTGTCACTAGAACCACGGCATTCAGTTACCTTCTTGGCCACGGAAGAAGCAAAAAACAGAGTGCTTGGTACAGGGCGGCCTCACCCAGGTTCTACTTCAAGAAAGAGTTGGGCCCGTGGAGTTTTAAGATCTAATTAAGAGAAGACACACTCTCTAATAGAAGGGAGGCTGTCCCCAAGGAAACACCTCCAGTAGGACAGGTGCTCCCAGCTCACCTGTCAGGTGGGCAGAGACAGGTTGGGTGGCATTTTCCTGACTGCACACAGTTGCTACAGGGTGGAACCCAAGAAGGGAATCATGGGTTCATGTATTGAGAAGCTGAGATGACTTCCGGAGTGACTCTTAACGACTGAGGGCAGAATGCTTGGAATAGGAGCCCTTAGACTCCCAGTTTATTACTAGTCTTGGGGCAGGCCACACCCAGAAGCTGTCAGGAGAGAAGACTGCCCCTCATGTTTTACAATGAATGGAGGACTCCTTGAAATCAAGGGGTACTCATTTGGGTCTGAGCCCCAAAGCTTAAAGGAGCAGATTGTAACTGGTATGTAGGGTAAGATGTGGAACGGAATTCCCAGGCTGTAGAAGCACCCAAAGGAGTCCGAGAGGTCCCTTCATCCCTTCAGGCTCCAGCGCTATGGGTTTCAGAGTCCACGATGTACTGCCTGTACATGTGGGTGTGGAACTTAACCAACCTCTCAGCTCCGGGCAGGACTCCCCAGCACTGCAGAGCAATATTCAAAGACCCCACAGTTACCACATTGTACTCGGAAGTCTTTCCTATGGCTTCTCAATGTGAGGTAACTTGTTTTCTAGAGACTTTTTTTTTTTATATAAAATGCACAATCCTTTCTAGCAAGTTAAGATTTTAGCAAGCTCTTCCAGAAAAAAAGGGGAATCAAGCTGTGTATATCTTATGTCTCAAAGCTCAAACTATCTTGCTATAACTATTTTTTGACATCTTTATGGGTAGAATGGAGTTTGTCCACTTGCAAGCCAGGTTAGATGTTCTGTCTAAAGTTCATTATTGGCTGGGGAGGTAGCTTTGTGCTCTAAGTGCCTGCCTGGTAAGTGCAAGGACCCGGGTTTGATCACTGGTACTTCATGCCGCACCAGCCTGTAAACCGGGCATGATGGTGCACACCTGTAATCCCAGCACTACGGAAGCTGAGATAGGAGAATCAGTACAAGTCAGAGCTGTGTAGGGAGACCCTGTACCAAAGAAATAAAAGATTAAAAAACATTCGAAGTTTATTATTGACAAAGACTTTCTCCTTGACCAAATACATATGCTTCTCTGAGAGCCTCTTAATTCCTCAACCTTGGCCCATAAAATTTGAACAAATATTAACATAGTTTCTAACAGCTCCAAGCTTCATCCTGGTCCCACTTAAATGTCTATTTGAGTGATCCTTTCCCTCCCCTTCCCTTCCCTTTCCTTCCCTTCTCTCTTCTCTGTCCTACCCCACCCCTCCTTCTCTCTGTTTCTCTGTCTGTCTCTCTCACACATGCACTCAAGCACGTGCATGTGCACACGCACACTCATTGCCTTGCCTCATAAGCATACTTTTCTTACTCTCCTGACATGTCATCAGGCTCCAGGTTTAAGAAATAGACCTCTGGGAAGTCTCCACCCATTTAACTCCTGCCCTCTACCATACCATCTTGCTCTCCTTGCAAAGCTACGCTCTGTAGCTAGCCCAGGCATTCCCTGTCCGGACTTCCCCACGCTGAATCTCCAGTTTAACCCACCGTAAGCTGGCCCACTTCAGTCTCCACCTGCTCCCTCTCCAGCCCAGCACTCCGCTGGAACTGCTTTCCTAGGCTTAGCGGTGCCATTTAGGTCGTCGCACATGGAGACCTCTCCTTTCCTTATCATTCTTCTGCACTCCCCTCGGTCTTCTAGTGTTCGTTGATGAGTTAGTCATATCCTCTCTAGCCCACTTTGGCTTCCTAAGATCCTTCCTGGTTTCCCTCTGGTCTCTCTGGTCCTTCTCAGCCTGCTTTTCTGCAGTTTATCCCTTATACACTAATGTTCCCTGAGGTCTAGTGCTTTGCTTATATCCCCAGCCCTGCCCTCTCCTTCTTCACTTGGGTTATTGCTAATCTAAGTGTCAGTTTCATTTTACACATTTTGAGCTTACTTGTTAGGTACACATATATTTCTAATTGTTACATCTCCCTGTGTATTCACTTGGTGTTGTCAAATGTCTCCCTGTCACGGCTTTTCTCTAGATATCCCCCAAAGCCTCATGCAGTCAGTCTTAGGTGGGGCTTTCCAGAGGTGGCTGAGTCTAGGCGGGGTCGTGGCTGTGATGCTGGGATTGATTCACAGTGCAATGCCTGCATAGAATATGAGAGAGACAGAGCGGCTTATTGGTGGCCGCGTGTCAGTTGCTGCTTGCTGCCTTCCTCCTGCCACGCACGGTTTGCCCTCTGCTCTGCCATCCCTCCTTGGAACCAGGCCACGATGGACTGCAACTCTTATGGGGAGCTTACTTCTCAAACAGGCTCTGAGTTGCTCTCCTGTCCGCCTGGAGTTAGGTTCCAGGTTCTTCTGGTCCCAAGCACAGACTTGGATGAAACAAGCAAAAAACAAAACAAACAAAACCAAAAAGTAACAGTTTATTCAAGAAAGTAAAAGTGGTAAGTGGGGAGGAGCTGCAGCACAAGCCTGAGCCAGTAGAGAGAAAAGCGGGGTGAAAACAAACAGGGAGGTGCATGCTGCATGCGGGAAACAGTGCGGGCGGGCAGCTACGGAAAGCTACGACAGCAAACTCTTTGTGGCTTTGTTGTGCCCTTTGCGTTGTCCAAATCTTCAGTGAGAACGTCTCCTCATGTGTCCTGAGAGGTGGTCCATGTCCCAGGCTGACCTCAGGTCTCGGCCACAGCACAGCTCTCAGGAGAAGTCCACACGCAGGGATTTGGGAATTATTCTGTGCATGCTTCCAGGACCTTGTAATTAGCAGGTTACATCTACTATCCCAGCCAGCTTCGCTCTGTCCTGATCTCCTACCTCAAAACCTCTATAAACTGTGAGCCAGTTAACTACGGGTGTTGGGTTGTTTGTCTCAGTAATGAAGAAAGTACTGATGAAACCCCTTCTGTCTCAAGTACCAGTTCCCGTCTGGAAGCCTGCTTCGGCACCCTCGTGAGCACTGCGGCTCGCTAACGGCTACTACACAGTAGATTGCGTATATGGGCATACCTAGGCTCAGGGTACTCTGCTTTGCTGTGCTTCACAGATAGTATATTTTTCACAAACTGAAGGTTTTCTGGCATCAAGTGAGTCTCCCAGCAGCGCAGATGGTCATCACCATTTTTTTAAACCAATAACATACTTTTCATTAAAGTATGTCCAATTGTTTTTGTTTTGCAGTACTGCAAATAGAGCCCAGAGTTTTATAATTGCCAGTGAGCTATATTCTCAATCTTTTTGAATTTTATTTTGAGACAGGATCTTTCTAAATTGCCCAGGCTGGCCCCAAACTTGTAATCCTCCTGGCACAGCCTCTTAAGTACCTGGGATTATAGGTATGTGCCACCACGTCTGGCTGTACATTGTTGTTGTTGTTGTTTAATATGGTTTATTAACACAGTGACAAATGCAGACGTAAGAAGTCTACAACGTATAACCAATCCACTGAGTGACTTCTATTCCACGCCTTACAGCTTATAGTTAACAGCTTAAGGTATTTCACTACAGGTTCTCACAAGTCCTGATTTAAACCTTTAAAGTAAATTCAAGGGGCTGGAGAGATGGCTCAGTGGTCTAAAGCACCTACTTAGAACAAGCTTAGCAAAGCACAAGGACCACGGTTCAATCCCCCAGCACCACATGCCAGCCGCCCCGCCCCCTGGTGGGCTGAGCTGGCCACACACACACACCACACACTCTCACTCTCTCTCTCTCTCAAATAAATAAAAAAAAAATTAAAAAAAATAAAGTAAATTCAATATAAAATAAAATACATTAACTATTCATTTCCTACATGGTGTCTTATAGCCACAACTATGATATATATATATATATATATATATATGAGATGACAGTCTTAAAAACTCTGTTAAATATCCATGTTCGCTTCTAAGAAGGGGACAAATTCCAATTTTTAAAACAAAAAGCATGCCATCTTACAATGACTTTACATAAATGGCCATGTGTGTAACCTGTACAAATGAAGCTGTTTAAAAATTACATACTATAAGCAATAGAATTCAAATGTCTAAGTGTACATTC